AATGTTGCAATTGGTCACGTTTAATGGCATTGAATGGCCTTGCAGCTACAAAGCCTGGCTGATGGTTGCCTGGGGAAATCCTTCGTTTGCAGGTGTTAGCTGGCCCTGATTGGTATTTGTCTAGAATTTCCCCTGTTCTTTGACTGTCAAAATCTCATAAATTTCATAAGGCTTTCAAAGCAAGGAATACCAGACAAGAATCAGACAGGCTTTGAAGCTGCAAGGCCATTCAATGCTAATCAAAGTGGCCAATTGCAACATCCACACTTGCCTCAAGCAGACAAGAGTTCTTTCTCTCACCCTGAACATTCCACAGATATATAAACCCCATTTGCCTAGTTTCCAACAGACATCGCAACCTCTGAGGATGCCTGCCATAGATGCGCGTAAATGTCAGGAGAGAATACTTCTGAACGTGGCCAAACAGCCTGAAAAACCTACAGCATCCCCAAAAGTATACACTTCCACCTTCCTATAATATTCTTCACAGATGGTATATTTTGAACTGGAAATGTCACAGGCTAAGCACTATCTCATTTTGAACAAATTAGACCCAAATGTCACACTACTCATGAACATCCTTGTTTCCAGACACAGCTTGGGAAAAGCATTTGTTATTCACCATAACAATGCAAAACAAAACCATATCATACAATACCGAACTATAAACAAGTGAAGAATAACCTTTAGCTGCTCATTTCTTCTCCACTTTCCTTTCCCAATGCTGCGTAGAGTTGTGATATCTTAAAAATGCCCTACAGCAACAAAACGTCATGACATGTAGTTGTTATATTGCCGTTTTTACTATTTTCAGCCAGGGAAGAAAAGCCTAAAAATTATTTCAGACTTTCTGTGAGTATTTCTTTACACCGGCTGACAAGAACATTTTGTCTCTGTAGATTTCTTTTAATTATACCCAAGGACAACTTCACTGGGGGGAAACAAAGTAAGTTATTATACATTTCCAAAACACACCAGCTAGATATTTCAGCACAAAAAAGAAAGCAAAGTCTATTATCTGACACGTTACTGGGGTCTATGCCACGACTTCTGCTAGATAATCTATTCCGGTTGTAAGAAATACACTGCAAACACTTATCTTTGTGATTCATCCCCATCTCAGCTGAAACTTCGCCTTTTATTATTCACTGGTTCTCTATTGTAGGAAACCTCTGTATTGTACCACCACCATGTCAGACTACACAGAGAAGCCACTGAAATCCACAAGCATGTGAACAATTTCAACAGAAAGGAAGAAACCATGAAAATGAAAAGAATCTGGCTACCAGCATTAAAAAAAAAACCTCTAAAATCGTAACATTAAATAAAGAACATTCAAATACAGAGGAACTCCAGACAGGAACTAGACAGCTAATCATCTCCCAACCAAGGATTCTCCCAGACAGGAAGCAGTCAAGTCTTGAACCTGCAAGGCTTCTCAATATTAATCAAGGAGATCATTTGCAGCATTCATACTTGCCTCAAACAGACAAGAGTTATTTCTCCCACCTGGGACATTCTTCAGACATCACAACCTTTGAGGATGCCTGCTGGAAACACTTGCCAAGTTTCCAACAGACCTCACAACCTCCAAGGATATCTGACATAGATGTGGGTGAAATGTCAAAAGAGGATGCTTCTGGAACATGGTCATACAGCCCGGAAAACTCACAACAAACCTTTGATTCTGGCCATGAAAGCCTTCGACAATACAATACAGCCCAGAAAACACATAACAAACAAGCCATGAAAGCCTTCGACAATACATTCTACAGATACATAAACCCAACTTGCCTAGATTCCAACAGACCTCACAACCTCTGAGGATGCCTGCCATAGATGTGGGTGAAACATCAGGAGAGAATGCTTCTGGAACATGGCCATACAGCCCGGAAACCTCACAGCAACCCATACACACCTATGTTTCCTGCAATACACACCTATTATACAATTAATAATACAAGCAAGAACTTCCGCTGTGTGAAGCGGGAAGGAAGGTTTTGTAAGGGGATCAGACTAAGCTCTTTAGCCTATAAACAAAGAATCAGGGGCTATTGTTAGTTCTCCACCTGCAAGGGAACACAGGTCCATCAAATTCTTTGAAGGGGTTAGTAACTTGTCTAACATTCATAGCTCTCCAAAAGAGACACCTGCACTGGGGCAAAATATGAAGACACAAAGCACAAATGAGCCTCCCTATAGTCATCAAAACCAGACATGGGCAAACTTGGGCCCTCCAGGGGTTTTGGACTTGAACTCCCACAATTCCTAACAGCCTCAGGCCCCTTCCTTTCCCCCCTCAGCCGCTTAATCATTGTGGGTTAGGGAATATAAGGGCATTTTATTCCTGGCTATTAGAAAGTAAACAAGCAAGCAGTACTTATATATACCATGACTTCAGTTACTCCATAATGTTTTGATGCTGGGATCCTAGCACTTGCTTTACATTCCCGTTCTCTAGAAGAAATGTATTGTCTCCATTCCTTACCAGTTCCTCATTGCTTCCATTTCCTAGTAGTTATTTCTCAACCTTAGTAGAAATTTCCCTTTCCCTACTGTTTCACTGAAATATAACTTCGCAGCAACGCCCAAACAAGAATCAAGGAACATGAAAGGCACCACAGACCTGAGACGTCAACCACAGCAGAGCAATATATTGTTGAAGGAAAAATAGGGGAATTCCAGACAAGAAACAATCACCTCCCAACAAAGGATTCTCCCAAGCAGTAAGAAGCCCGACCTTGAAACTGCTGGGCCTTTGAATGCTATTTATTTATTTACAACATGTATATGCCGCCCTTCTCACCCGAAGGGAACTCAGAGATGCTTATATATATATATATATATATATATATACACACACACACACACACACACACACACATATACACATATATACACACACACATATATACATACATATACATACACACCCTCTCTCTCTCTCTCTCTCTCGCTCTCTCTATATATATATATATATATATATATATATATATATATATATAAAGGTGGCCAATCAAAATATTCACACCTGCCTCAAACAGACAGTAATTCTTTCTTCCACCCTGGCCATTCCACAGATATATAAACCCAATTTTCCTAGTTTCCAACAGACCTCACGACCTCTGGGGTTGCCTGCCATAGATGCAGGCGAAATGTCAGGAGAGAATGCTTCTGGAACACGGCCATATAGCCCGGAAAACTTACAACAACCCATAGCAGAGCACTTGATGAACCAACCTGGAGACAGCATATTATTTGAGAACACAGAAATGCTGGACCACTCTAACAACCACCATGTCAGACTACACAGGAGAAAGGAGAAACTCATGAAAATGAACAAAAATATGGCTACTTGTATTAAAAAAAAAACCCAAATCATAACAGTAAATAAAGAACAACATTCAAAAACTGAAGAACTCCAGACAAGAACTAATCAGGGACAACTAATCACCTCTCAACAAAGGATTCCCCCAGGCAGGAAGCAGCCAGTTCTTAAAGCTGCAAGGCTTTGCAATGCTAACCAAGGTGATTAACTGTGACATTCACACTTGATTCCAACAGACAAGAGTTCTTTCTCCCACAGATATATAAACCTCCCTTGTTTAGTTTCCAATATATTTTGCAACCTCTGAGGATGCCTGCCACAGATGTGGGCAAAACGTAAGAAGAGAATGCTTCTGGAACATGGCCATACAGCCCGGAAAACTCACAACAAACCAGTGATTCCGGCCATGAAAGCCTTCGACAATACATTCTACAGATATATAAACCCCACTTGCCTAGTTTCCAACACACCTCACAACTTCTGAGGATGCCTGCCATAGATGTGGGCGAAACATCAGAAGAGAATGCTTCTGGAACATGGCCATACAGCCTGGAAAACTCACAACAAACTAGTGATTCCAGCCATGAAAGCCTTTAACAATACATTCTACAGATATATAAACCCCACTTGCCTAGTTTCCAACACACCTCACAACTTCTGAGGATGCCTGCCATAGATGTGGGCGAAACATCAGAAGAGAATGCTTCTGGAACATGGCCATACAGCCTGGAAAACTCACAACAAACTAGTGATTCCAGCCATGAAAGCCTTTAACAATACATTCACAGATATATAAACCCCACTTTCCTAGTTTCCAACACACCTCACAACTTCTGAGGATGCCTGCCATAGATGTGGGCGAAACATCAGAAGAGAATGCTTCTGGAACATGGCCATACAGCCTGGAAAACTCACAACAAACTAGTGATTCCAGCCATGAAAGCCTTTAACAATACATTCTACAGATATATAAACCCCACTTGCCTAGTTTCCAACACACCTCACAATCTCTGAGGATGCCTGCCACAGATGTGGGCAAAACGTCAGAAGAGAATGCTTCTGGAACATGTCCATACAGCCCGGAAAACTCACCGCAACCCAATTTAGAATTTTCTTTCTCTAGTAGTTATTTTTCATCCCTAACCCCCAGGAGTTATGAGTCCTTCCACTTCCCTAGCAGTAACTTCCCCTTTTATAGAAGTTACTTCTTTTGTCCCCATTCCCTAGCTGTTATTCCTCCTCCTTCTCCCTTGGTAGTTTGTTACTTGTCGTCCTCATTCCCCAGCAGTTCCTTCTCCTCCCTGTTCTCTAGTTACTTCTGTATTCCATTTCCTCGCAGTTACTTTCCCTCCCCATTCCCTAGTAATTTCTCATTCCTTAGCAGTTACAGTACTTCTCATCCCCATTCCGTTGTAGTTACTCCTTATTTATCCCCTTTCTCTAGCACTTATTTCTCGTTCCCATTCCTTACACGAGTTAAGGCTGGTTCCCATTCCCTAGCCATGTCCCATCCCTCTCCCCTTGAAGTTGCTTCCCGTTCCAGGGAGTTGAGAGAGAGAGAGAGAGGCGGGGAGAGAGAGAGAGAGAAAAAGAGAGCGAAAGCAAAGCAGGCCACCCACGGCTGAAGTCCGGAAGGAGGGAAAGAAGAACCAAATAATAATACCCACAGTACCGAAATAATAATGCCAAAGGCAGGAAAGCTCACCCCAAAGCCAGCGGGAATGGCCAAAAAAAAAAAAGCAGCCGGAGCAACAAGCAACGCTCCCTGACTTCCTCCCTCTGCGACTCAGTCGCGCGCCCGCCTCGCGCCCCGCATTTATCCCGGGGACGGAGCGGAGCGCGCGCGGCACCGCCCAGGCCACGCCCCCTCACCATAGGCCACGCCCCCTTAGCGCCAAAGCCCCCCCCCCCCCCCGGAGCAGAGCAGTCCTGTAAGGCTCTTCCAAAACCTTGAGAATGGAAGTGCACCTATATAGTCAAATATAGATAATACTCTAGTTATCAAATGTAATGTTCGTTTGTGGGATTAACAGAACTCAGAAACCACTGGACGAATTGACACCAAATTTGGACACAGGACACCTAACAACCCAATGTATGTCCTTCACTCAAAAAAATTGATTTTGTCATTTGGGAGCTGGGATTTATAGTTCACCTATAATCAAAGAGCATTCTGAACTCCACCAAGGATGGAATTGAACCAAACGCAGCACACAGGACTCCCATGAGCAACAGTAAACACTAGAAGGGTTTGGTGGGCATTGACCTTGAGTTTGGGAGTTGTAGTTCAATTACAGAGAGCACTGTGGACTCAAACTATGATGGATCTGGACCAAACTTGGCACAAATACTCAATATGGCCAAATGTGAACACTGGTGGAGCTTGGGGAAAATTGACCTTGACATTTGGGAGTTGTAGCTGCTGGGATTTATACTTCACCTACAATGAAAGAGCCCCTTGAACCCCACCAACGATAGAATTGGGCCAATCTTCCCACACTGAACCCCTATGACCAACACAAAAGACTGGAGAGATTTGGGAGGAACTGACAGTGATTTAAGGGAGATGTCATTCCGGAGAGCACTGTGAACCCAAACTACTATGGATCTGGACCAAATTTGGCACAAATACATGATACGCGCAAATTTAAATACTGATATTGTACTATGCTAATACTAAAATATATTGTATGGATATATATCTTGTAAGCTGCTCTGTGGCCCCTTCAGGGTGAAAAGGGCGGCATATAAATGTCGTAAATAAATAAATAAGTATTCTGCCATATTCATTTCTATCAAGGACCCTGCAATCCATGGGTGGAGAATCCCTGGAGACAGAGGGCCAACTGCAGGCAGTCCCCAAGTTAGGAGCAAGATAGGTTCTAAAGGTTTGTTCTTAAGTTGAATGTGTATGTAAGTTGGACCATGTACATTTTATAAGTGTAACTCCAGCCACCAGTGGCACAGTGGGTTAAACTGCTGAGCTGCTGAACTTGCTTGGAGCTCCCCAGTGGCACAGTGGGATGCTGAACTTGCAGACCGAAAGGTTGCAGGTTCAAATCTGGGAAGCGGCATGAGCTCCTGCTGTTAGCCCCAGCTTCTGCCAACCTAGCAGTTCAAAAACATGCAAATGTGAGTAGTATCAATAGGTACTGCTTCGGCGGGAAGGTACCGGCACTCCATGCAGTCATGCCAGCTACATGACCTTGGAGGTGTCTACAGACAACGCCAACTCTTCGGCTTAGAAATGGAGATGAGCACCAACCCCCAGAGTCAGACACAACTAGACTTAATGTCAGGGGAAAACCTTTACATTTACCTAATTCCTGCCAAATGTGTGTGTGTGTCTATACATGCTTTGGATATCATAGGGAAGGGTTAACATCCTAATGACAGAGGTTGTGGACTTCCTTGTAGAGGAGTGTTTGAGGCTTCCCAATGATAAATACTGTATTTCTGTAGTGCATTTCCATGCCACCTTTCTGCTAGCATTAGCCAGCATATTAGCCACTTTGAGTCCCTATATCAGGAGAAAAGCTAGATAAAAATAAAGTAAATTAATAAATAATGTGATTTACCATTTCGGTTATTACAACAAAATAAATGGTGAAATGAAGGAATTCAGGCAATTTGTTACTTCTTCAAGAGACAATAGCAGAAGGTCCTTCACTCAAGTTTTTCTTTTGTTTTCTTCTGAGTTGTAATAGAAGATCATGGTTGATTCCACCCACTAAGTTTCATGACAAAGTAGAGCTTGAACCCAAAGATAGCATCCTGCTCACTAATACTAGCTCTAACCACTTCTAATAGCAAACTCAACAGATGAATGCTGACAGGATGGTAGCCATCGCAAAGGTGTCACCATGATCAATGGAAGAGCAGTATGCTTTTCAACACTTTGTAGTTTCCTCTTGTGTCACAATAGCTCTCAACATTTAAAGTAGTTTCTGTTTTGTTGCTGCAGATTAATTTTTTGTTGTTGCAGCTGCATACTCATACTTGCAAATAGCTTTAATGTCTTCAGCAAAAAGCTCCTAAATAAACTTTAAGCCGATACTATTCATGAAGGAAATCTCATTAAGTTCCGCAGGATTTACTCATGGATTGGAGTCTTAATAGCCACTGGGGAAGTAGACAAGTCTGATTAATAAGTGATTAAAAGGCATTCTTTCACCATGTAACAAAGCAAACAGTGGAATTTCCTAAAGATCTGTCCAGAGAGTAATTCTACTTACCCAAAAGAAAGAAGTGTCAGATGGCAAAATGTTGGATTCGGCTTCAAAGCTGGCAAGGGGCTTGACGCTGTGTGATGTGTGCCAGCTTGCTATTTTGCCTCTCAGAAAGATTTTGCCTTGTTACTACTACACACATCCTTGACAACATCAACAAACAAGCACCTTGTGGGCAACAGCTTTCATAGCTCAAAGAGCCTGAAAGTCACAAATAAAGGGATTTTTCTGTAACTATCTCACTTTGGCTTTCTTGCTTGGCTTTTTGTAGGGCATGTAATATATTTTATCTTCTAATTCTCTCTTTTAAATGCATAACACTTGTTATTTTTTGTTTTGCTATGTTAGAAGAATTGAATTGCAATGTGCAGAGAAAATGGGCTGCTGATATTGCTATATGTATTTCGTGAAAGAATTAATGCCCTTAAACTGACTTTGCCCCAATAGCAGTGGTTCCCAACCTGACCAGAGACCACTTGATCAGGGACCACTCTCAAATATTAGTACCAAAAGGGTTATGAATCTTTTTTTGATTGTCTTTAGATTTGGTTTGGTTATTTGGAGTGCTGATTCAGAAAATTGCATTGGATAGACCACATCAGTTCTAGTTTCTGATGCAGAACACATGCCATCCAATAGTCACCATCTGCTCACGCACAAAAAACCATATTTAATAAGCTTCAGCACTATAAGAGGGTTTTGCGAGCCTAGTCTCTCTCCTTGCAACAGTGTAACGATGAGGCTGCGGACCATATTTTAGTTCTTGTGGACCACTGGTGGTCCACGGACCACAGGTTGAGAACCACTACCCTATAGTGGTTCTACAAGTCAACTTATCATCAACAGCCCTGCTCAGGTCTTGCAGACTCGGGGCCAGGGCTTCCTTGATTGAGTCTATCCATCTATCATGTAGGCTTCCTCCTTTCCTACTGCCTTCTACTTTACAAGCAGAATTGTCTTTTATTTATTCCAAGCATTTGTACCCTGTCCTTCTCACCGCTGAGGGGGGACTCAGGGTGGCTTTAAAATAGGCAACCATTAGATGCCGAACATCAAATTAAACAATCATAATTAAAAAACAGTTAAAACAGTTATAAACATTCAAAAATTTAAAATTTAAAATTCCGCCAGTTTAAAATCATGATCCTGGATCAGTCCATTGCCAGTTGCATAGGTCATTGTCATTCAAATTGCTGTATCTATTGCTCAAAAGCTTGACTCCAAAGCCAGGTCTTAAGTTTTTTTTTCAAAATGCCAGGAGGAAGCAGGCAGATATGATAGCATTTGGGAGGGAGTTCCACAGCCAAGGAGTCACCACTGAGAAGGTCCTGTCTCTCATCCCCACCAGTCATGCTTGCGAGGGTGGTGGGACCAGGGCCATAGCCAGAAAATTTTTTTGGGGAGGGTTGAAAATTTCAGGGAGGGTTGAAAATTTGGGGGGGGGGAGTTTGAAAATTTTGGGGAGGGGGGGGGTTAGGCTCACGCTGAAGCCAAGAGCACAGCAGGGGCAGAGCAGCCTTCAATAGCCTGCAGCTCCGCCCCTGTCAACCACCTCCACCAAGTCTGGCCTCCTTAATGAGAGCATTCAACCCCCCCCCCCAACTTGGTTGCTTTGCTACATCGGCTATTGCTGCAAGTAATGACAGTGTGAATAAATTGTCAATATTTGCTTGAGATAGTGCTTGCAGTTCTGGAGGGACTCTTAAGTTTTTGCATCTCATAGACTTAGCATGGGGATTTGGTTAACCAGTTAAAATTCATGAGTAAACCAGGTTTTTTTTTTAACCTGAAAAATTTCGGAGGGGGGGGGGTTGAACCCCTAACCCCCCTCCCCCCGGTTACAGGCATGGGTGGGACCGAGAACAGGGCCTCCCCCAATGATCTCAAACTCCTTGATAGTTCATAGAGGGAAATACGTTTGGACAGGTAAACTGGGCTTTTTTGTAGTGAGTCTCATTATATGTCCAAAGTATGTCTCAATTTAGTTATCTTGGCTTTTAGAGAGAGTCCAGGCTTGATTTACTCTAGAGCCCATTATTTGTGCTTTTAGCAGTCCATGGTATTGATGGAACTGTTCTCCAGCACTACAGTTCAAGTGATTTTCCTCCTATCAGCTTTCATAATGCTACAGCTTTCAGAATTATGCATAGAAATGGGAAATACAATGGCATGGGCAAACTTAACTTTAGTAATTTCTTCTTGAAAAATCCCTTTCCTTGGCTCAAGACAGCTAGGTGATAAATTGGCAAAACATTGACAGCCATTTCACACAAAAGTTTAATTTTTACAGAAAAGTTTTTGTTTCCTGGAGAGGGGTGAGTGGTAGAGACAGTGTGGACCTTGGAGGTCCCGAGGGTGCAATGCAGGTCATTAACTTTCAAGGTTGTCCAACACCAAACTAAAACACGTGACCAGAATTTTTGTTCCCAGATTATCACTTATTGTTATTTCTGGTTAACCTTCAAATCTCGTACCACCATAAGGTAAAAGCTTTCTATAATGTGCCCAAGCTTTAAGATAAGCTTTGGAGGTTTTGCTCATTTTGTTTTTTCATAAATCTTAATAGGTAAATATAAGAGATGCCTCTCTGAG